TAAAAAAAAAAAAAAAAAGGAAGCAGCACCCAAGAGTGTGCGAATACAAGGGCAGTGTAGTAACCCGGCGACGTCTTCACTCGTGCGCGTGCCTCGGAGATCGACGCATCGTCTTCGCTAACCCCCTCTCCCCTTCCTCCTAATCAACCCTTCCTTTTTGAATTGAAAAAAAAAAAAAAAAAAAAAAAAAATGGCAACATTATTTATAAATTTAAATAAAACATAAATAAAAGAAATTTGAACAGAACGATTAACTGCATTAAAAAAAAAACAATTCTGCAGAAAGTTCAAATCGATCCCGTGATAGAAAAACAATTTGAGCAGCGGCATAAGCATGAATCAACTTAGCTACCAAAACTTCGATCTATAGGGATCTGAAAGCCACTTGTGTTTATTAATAACCTCTGGAGCTTGTCCTACAGTTCATAACAAGTATGAGGAAAAATAATAAATTAGGGGTTATAACTGAACTGCCATTCTTAAAAAAATAGCTGAAATTTTTTTAAAAATAATACTGAATTTCAAAATAAGCATTAAAAGTAGGGAAAAAAGAAAAAAGAGCGGGAGCAAAAATCATTTTAATATATAACCGATATACTCGGTTGCAGTCAAAAGAGAAAAACTCGTGTCACCGCTTGCTTTGGCTGTGTGATTAGATGTATGGCTATAGTCAACATTTCCACTCCTCCCCCCCCCTAGATATACATTCGGTATACCCCTTCTACGTCTCTCCAAAATGTGCGCCTATATGGTCATTTCCACGCGAATCCACTCTTCTTCCCGTAGGCGCACGCTGCTTGATACGAGTAGTAAGACGTGCGTCTGGTTCGACGGCTGGCCGCGGTGGGGCGCTCCAATCAGTGCAAAAAAGTCGTTTCACATCGTAGCATTGGCGTTAGCAATCTCTCTACTCATCTCTGAAATTAGTAAATAAAATTAAGGTTTTTATATTTCAGCACCACTACTTTTTTTCGACTTTTTCGACTTTTTATTTTGCAAATATCTCGCTAACTATTGATCCACAAATGAAAATTCAAGTGGAGAATAAATCCGCAAGTAAGGAGGAATCGTTAAAGCCCCAAATGGTTGCAAAATAATATTTAATATTTACAGGCACCAGCTTCACGAGTCTCCTGTACAGAGAGATTCTATGTGCATGCACACATACATACACACGCTTCGACATTCTGTTATTTAATATTCTGAACCTTTATACACACTGGCAGTAAATAGTATTCTTTCTCATAGTTACGTAGCCTTGACAGGTTCTGAAATAAAAATACAAAAACGGTCAAGTTTTTTTTCTTCTTTTCTGTGCAGCATACATTTTGTATGACATTCGTAGTATAATACCGTTTAGTACTCGTACTTAAACAGAATCAAACGATGTAATATTGACTTTTACCTTGACATTGTTATATACTTTCGATATAGTAAGGCATGAATGTGTTATGACCAGACTTGTTTAGAGTATGGTCTTAACTGTTTTATTCAAGTGTCATTTTTGGGTCTCTTAGGACTCAGTTCGTGAGCTTTATTTGTTCTTTTTAATTGAATAATAATCTTTATTTAAATAACATGGGTAATTTTAATTAATGAATTTCTTTATTAAAGCCATTTAATAATAATTTATTCTTTTAAACACAATTTAATCGGGTCACTTTAACAAGGTTCAGCGTTAATT